AATGGTTTCAATCTGCCCTTGTTTTTTCTTTTTCTTTTTCTTTTTCTTTTTATTTTTGCATGTTATCACTGTGCCCGTTTTTTGCTTTTATTCTTTGTTCCGCAAAGTGCGCTCTTTTAGTTTGTAGTGATGTGACAATATATATATATATATTTTTTTGAATAATTTTCAACTATTTTTTGCCCGGCTGGGCCAGTGGTCCCGGGCCACTCTGGTAGCCTAGCTACGAACTAGTATGAAGTTAAAAAAAAAACAAAAAAACTATGGAAGTATTCTAAGAACCCAAAGTATAGGTTCAAACTTCAAAGCTCAACCTCCTGGTACTAAAAGATAACTATATAGTATATATCTGCAATAAATCGCAGTTTCCCAGTGGGGCTGTACACTAAGTGTTTGGCTTTGTAGTTTGTTTTCTTGTTTTGAGCCGTGCGGGACTTGATCCTGTGACCTGTAACTCTTGTGTTTTGTTTGTGAGTGCTGTGCTCTATGGGACTTGATGCCTGAGTCTGTCACTAGTAGCCTCTGTTTGGTAGCCTTAGGCCATTCGACCTTTTCCTTTTGCCTTGTCATAGGTCTAGGTCCCCTTTTCCCCCTATTTCCATCTAGATGCAGATGAGTACTGGGTTGTTGCCTTTGGAGTCCCTCGTAGGTCTAGGCAGAGGGTAGAAGTTGTGGGCAGGAAATTTGGTTTGGGGGCTTTTCACGTTTTCGTTGGCTGGGGAAACTCTGCCCGTCCATTGTTGAAGAGCTGCTGCTGTATTTTGCTGCTCTATTTTGGGCGAGGTCATCTTCTTCCTCGAAACCCAGCCATAGCTGGGGTCAGGAAACGAAGTTGAAGATCGCACTGCTGCTGTTTCGCAGCTCTGCATGAGAGCTTCCACAGGACTGTGTTGTTGGGTTTGGGTGCTGCCATCTTCCACTTGGCAGCCATATCTGCTTTTCGTCCTCTCGAGGAACTTTGTCTTCTTCGAAGTGCTGGATCGGTTGTCTCCTTCTTCATCAGGACTTCCAGAGCTGCATTTCCGTGCGGGTGCTGAGCTGGCGCTGTTATCGTTAGGGTTGCTGGTTCAGATTGGCACGTTGTGACAGCTGTGGGGTTACTGCTGCTACGGCAGCCATAGCCAGGGGTATGAGGTGGCGAGGAGGAAGAAGAAGACTCCTGCATACTTCGTTGAACACTTGTTTCTGGTTGTTCGGGGTTGTTGTAAACGCGGTTGTGATTGTTGGAACAAGTACTCTGGATTGATTGGAGGAGGACGAGGGATTGCAGAATTGAAATTCGTTTTTCAATTCTCTGTGTAGTTTGAGCTTCCGCTGTGCGTATTTTCTCTCCGGTTTTGTGTGGATTTGCCTCCTTCAAGTCTACTCTGCAAGGGCATGCGTGTATGGGAACGTGTGAATTCGTTGTGGATTGAAGTTCAATCGGGTACATAACATATTGATGCCAAAAAAATTAAATAAAATGGAGGGTTGATAACGTCAGGGACATGTGATGATCATGCCCCCACGGCCCCGCCCACCAGTATCCTTTCATCTTAGTGCCATATAAATAAATTGACATAATCCATACTACTCCCACCCCTGCTTTGATTCTTCTGCCACTCGGAAAATTTGTGTTCGCGACTTCGGATTGATCGGTTCCTATGGTGCCGGCCAACAGTATCGAAAGGTGCCACATGCAGTGTTGGTCACTTGCTTGCCGGCACCATAAGCCATGCGCAGGAGCTCACTCTCCAGCCGGCAAGCAAGTGACGAACACTGCCTGCGGCATCTCTTCTGATACTGCCGGCCGGCACCATAAGACCTTACTCGCCAACTTTTTTTTTTTTTTTTTTTTTTGAATGTCCCTTTTGGATCAGACACTCTTTTTCGAGAGTACGCCACGTGCTAGGATCTAAGCGTCTACGGGGAGCCGGAACATAGGACGCGGGTTGAGGACCAAACCAAGTATACCCAGGGGTGTCTGGAATCTGGATGAAAGACATTTGATAAATATTTGTGAAGGACTGGGTCTCCATAAACTTATCGGTAGCCTTGTGTCAGGTCTAATGGTTAATAGCTTCAATTGTTACTGAGATTCTATGAGCCTGGTAGCAGGATCGTACAATTCGTATTCCAATCTGTTAGGTTGTGTTGGTCAGGGAACCATGGTGACAAAATGTAAGGAAACAATCATAGTTGCGGCGCACGTGTGCGGTGCGCTGTGCGCAGGTTTAGCAGGGTGCGCACTGTGCGCTGTGCGCTGTGCGGTGTGCTGTGCGCTGTGCGTGCGCTGCGGCCTGTGCGCCATGTGCGCATGAATTAAAAAAAAAAAATGCCAAACCCCCTCTTCCCCCGCCCCCAGCACTCTGTGTGTGTGTGTGTGTGTGTGTGTGTGTCGTCATTTTGAATGTGTGTGTGTGTGTGTGTGTGTGTGTGTGTGTGTGTGTGTGTGTGTGTGTGTGAGAGAGAGAGAGAGAGAGAGAGAGAGAGAGAGAGA